TCAAGATTTTACACAATAATACACGATGATCTTAATTTTTCAAGTTAAACTATATGCCTTTAATTTTAAAGTAAGATGTTTGCCAACGAATGTCAACCAGAAAAAGACTTTTTTATTTATATATATGCAAAAGCTTTTGGGTAAATACATGGCAAACTTTTAACTAGAAAAAAGAAAAACCAAAATAGATGTTCCCTAGATATCAATAATAAGAATGCTTTTGCACTGGCACGCTGTAGAGTGACTCAAGTGTAGCTTCTGTTAAAAGGATCTCAAGAAGTGTGACAATGCGTAAGGGTCTGAAGTTCCCTCTGGACTACGAAATCTCCAGATATTGGATGCCACAAACCAGTATTGAATCTTTGTCTGTATTCAATCTATTCTCTGACTATTTTAATCATGGCCTTCTCTTTCTTCAGTCCTAACTCTAATTACCATTTGACGTTGTTACCCAACCCAGGAGCCTTTTAACTTTACAATGAATCCAAGACCTCCACCATCCACGAATCCTGAACTTAAATGACACTCAAGCTGCCCTTTGCGGGTTTACAACTTGAGACCTCTTTTGGTTTCAAGACGCCACATTTCATTCATTTTTTCTTTTTTTATTATTTTTCTATTTTTATTTATTTTTTTTTTTTTTTCTTCTATCTTCATGCAAATATTTCTTGACTGCATCGGTGTTCACTGGGTTGAGTAATTTTGGCCCATCCATCCCAGTAAGATCAGAGATCCCCTAGAAAATGCTTTCTTTATAGCATAAGGTCCCTCCTAGCTTGGAATCCATTGTCTTCGGAAATCCTTTTGAACGGATAGGATCCTTCTAAGCAACAGATCTCCCTCGTGTAATTCTCGTGGGTGGACTTTCTTATCATGTGCTTTTGGTACATCTGGCCATGACATATAGCTTTCAATCTTTTTTCTTCGATCAGATTCAGTTGGTATACTTCATCCTCCAACTTTTTCAGAGTTTCTCTCCATTGTTTTCTTTTAACCTCAAAGTCATAGTTAGCTAACTCTAATGGGGATGGTACAACTCTCAGATGTTATTCATAGGCTGAATATTCTCGAGATTAACCATCGGGATGTTATCATTGACTTGATTACTTCACCATTGCTCATATTCTTATGATAACTTCAATCAAAAGTGAAGAGGTTTACATGACATGTTTTCTTTCACGCATTAAGACCCCTTTGAATTTATTCTTGTATTGCTTTCCTTTGAACGCAAACTCTGACCCAGATAAATCCCACGTTGCAAGAATAAACTGCCTCGACCCATACTGCATGGAAACTAACAGAGGTGCATATGCTACAGAACCCTAAATACCTATCAAAGGAACTTAATATCTCTCTCCATACCTATAAAGTATGTATGAAGAGACGTTCCATGAAGCTCGCTATAATAAATTATCATCTCTGATATCTTTGAAAATGACCATCCATTTTTCTTCGGTGAAACCTCCAGATCATTCTCAGGAAATGAAGTCTTTCAAAGGTAAAAACCCCTCAAGAAACACTTACCCAGGTGCTCTTTCGATTTGCTTGAAGTAATTAAGGATCTTAACTAGAAATAGTGGTGCATATCCTATGAAGTGTCATTCTCATTCTCGTCTATAAGAGTTCAAAAAAAGAATGTCTCGCCTAAAATAGCTGGAACGGGATCTACGTGCCTTTTTAATCTTTCAAAAAAATTGACCACTGATACATCAACATGCCCCAGGACCTTCGGGAATATAACTAGCCCATAAATGCCAAGAACAAACATGTCAATCTTTTTCCTTTTGTCGAGATGACGATCGATTACTTCTCTCATAGCAGTCCAGGTGTTGTACTCACTATCTCCTTTCTTATTAATACTCATAACAACCCATTCTTCACTCATTCCAATCATCAAGAGTATGTTTTTTGAAAGAATGAGTATTTGGCGGTACACCCTGTCTACTTGGAATATCGACAATGGATCAAAGAGTGAAACTCCTCTATAGTGGGTGTCATATCCACTCTCCCAAAATAAAAGCAACTGTAAGCGGGGTTCCATAATTATGCAAGGAATCTAACTAGATTTCGGTAAATTGGGATGTCTAGGAGATAGGAGATGTCACCATACAACTGATGGAACAACTATTTATTATCTGCTTCCCATCTTCCCCATATCTCTTTTAGCTCACTCAAATCATTTTGACGTACGTTAATATAGGTGTAACTAACCAGATCTGACACATACCCAGGCTATAAGCTATCTCCATTGGCCAACTGGGACTATTCAGACCACCTCAAAACATCTGCATTGTCTTCTACATCTTTTTGGACCCTTCGTTCCATATACTTGCCTTCTATATGGAAATTGATCACGGATCAACACCATGAAATGAATAGTGCAATGAAAAATTGAAATAAAAAAAAAGAAAAGAAAAAATTAGTTAGTAACCATAAAAGAATCAATAAGGAATAATATAATTTGTCAATAAAACCTACCCTCACATGTTGGCTACCCAATCATGTTTTTATAGTGTCCTACCCCAAACATGATTTCTACCCCCATGTTTTATTTTCACATAAAAACCTAACCTCATGCTATCTAGTTCGCATGCTTATTCGAGAAAAATAAACCTAACCACATGATCTCTAGTTCTCATACATTTACCCGAAAGGAAAACTTATACTACAGAAATTAAAAGACTCAAAAAGCTTTTCCTTTTGTATTCTCCTCATGGGATTCTTAAAGTTCGGGTTAAGCTCTACCTAGGCTTGGGTTTCTAGGTTCACTATATACTGGATTCGGCTCTAAAGTAAAAGGTTCTCGAATTGTCCTTGTTGGAACCCCTTGGGCTGTCAAACCCTCAATCCTGGCCCATTATAGGCTTTCAGATTGAGTTCAATTAGAGGGAACACACCTCCTTATGTCCATACGGAGGTGAAAACCATCATGAGGACCATAAGGCGTTAGCTCCAGGAGCGATCCACTATCCCATACGGAGGTGAAAACCACACGAGGGAGTAGTTTCTCACTTCTAATTAAATCGGACAGAGTGGGGTTTTAGCTCATGTTATGTCAATGTAGTGCATAGTGTGTGAGGAAAAGTAAAAACACACAATCACACAACACACAAAAATCATTCCTCAAATCCAATAAAGACACAATTATATATGAAAACATTAACAAAAAATTAGTACAACTATTTAGTGGTTAATCAAATTGCAAAAAAAAATTTAAACCAAACAAGGGATCAAAAACTAAATTAGTACGAACTTGTAATTTTTATTGCAAAGACAATTAATTAATTGACTAATGCCCTGACTCTCTAAAAAAGTCCCAAGTGAAGTCGCCAAGCTATCGAAATGCTCTTTTTCTTAAATTTTTTTTATTTAATTATTAAGTGATTAAAAAATCTCGTCTCGATTAATTTAGCATTTCCCTTAATATAAAAAAATAAAAAAATGGTTCGAGGAGTCGCCATCAATCCTTGATTAGGGTGTGATTGGGCACCCAAAACGATTGTCATTTTAATAAAAATTAATTTAATTTTATTAAAAAACATTATAGGTCTACGTTCCAAAGAATTGAATTCGGGAGTCGATTACGCGTGTGGAAGGATTAGCACCCCCACAGTGCCTTGAATAGGTACCTAGTCGATTAATTAATTGTCTTTGTAATAAAATTCAGGAGTTAGAGTTTAATTTAATTTATGAGCCCTTAAAAAATATTCTTTGAAATTTAGAACGAAACATAATAATATTTGATTATTTCCCATCGAGAGGAATCAACCTCTCATACCTTAAAGCAGTCAATTCCTACTCCAATCGAAATAAAGAAATATTACAATTCCATTCTAAAATTCAAATGTATAAATGAATATAAAAAACAAGTTAAAAATTACTAATCTTTTTATAAAGAAGAAGGATGTTCGATTATTTAAAGACTTCAAGATCGGACCTTTTATAAGTTTTAACGATCTTTTCTTGAAGAATTTAAATTGACAACATTTCTTTTTCTCACGTTCCCAAATTTTTGGCGTGGTCAAATTTTAAGGTTTCACTTGACGAGATACACTTTTATTTTAAAATTTTCGGAAGTAACTTTCTTATACGTTAAGACAACCACCCCACGACGACCTTAAAATGAAAGAATATTACCCTTAGTCTAATTATTTGGGTGGAGTCGAGTAATATTTACGAGGGTATTATACATATGTTGTAACAATCCACTTGCTAAATAGATGATGTACAAAATGTCAAAGCAAATGTAAATGTACATGTATATATATATAATTTATAGAAATGTTAAAAAAATTGATGATGCTTAAGTTTGATTAAACAGTGTGTAATCTAAAAATTTAAAAGTAATATATACTAATGTCCTAACTCTAGCTTATTTAATAGTTTGAATAAAATAAAAACTAAAACTTATCATATTACCATTAGTGTATATGTTTGAATATGCGAACGATTAGATTAACATCAGAAATTAAATTATATTTAACATATGTATGTATGACTCAGCATGCGTATGCAATCATACAGAGAACATGATATAAAAGAATACATACATGCGCATAGGAAAATAAGAAAATAACACAGTGACCAAGATAAGAGATCATATAAATCTAAAGCTAAAACCATATATTAGGCAGAGGTCAAGTCATAAAGCACAAATAATAGCATTTCAGGTACTAAAATCAAAATAAACCCATAAATATGTGTGGGACTAAAATATACATTTCGAACATAGCATAGCAAATGTGCAAACAGTAAAATTTAAAATAACTACATCCTAGGACTAAAATAGAAGACGTAAAAATAATGAGATACAATCAAGCATACAAAAATTACAAAATAGGACCAAAATGCATCAGGATGAAGATAAAAGGAATTATCGGGACATTACCCCTTTTCGAATCAGACGCGGGTTAGCTCACCCCCTCGAAACGCTGCCGTTTCGGCAGCAGTATAGGGGTGATATATTGGGTAAAAATTTACCCTATCTCATTAGGCCTCCCTCTTTTTTCACCTAAATGCTTTAACCCCGCCGTTCTCTCTACTCTTCCCCCCATTCCTTTCCTTTTCACTCTTTTTCCTTCAAACCATTCGGCCACCATGACCGCCGCCGCTTCGACGAGGGGCCGGAGGACTAACCAAAACCCCAACTAAAATGACCTCCCTCAAACCCCAAAAACGACACGTGTGACGATTACCTTCGACGAATCGGTGATGTTTTGGCACCGGAGGACGACAGAGACGCTTTTCCAACAAGGCGAGGTTTCTCCTTTTTGTGTTTTTTTCTATCTCCTTGGGTATTCAGTTGCTCTCTCTCTCTCTCTCTCTCTCTCTCTCTCTCTCATAAAAGGCTCTCCCCCTCCCTTTTCTTTCGATTCTCTTCGCTGATGGTGGAAAGGGATCTCCTTTTTTTTTGTTTTTGGTGGCTATTGTGTTGTTTCCCTGTTCTCTCTGCCGATTTTTTTATATATATTGCTCCCGATTTTCTTTTTTTTTTCCTTTTTTGATTTTCTGTTGATATATATATCTATCGCTCTCTCCTCTTTGATGAGAATGAGGCATTATTTTAACCTCTCTACACTGTTTTGTTTGCATACAGGAGGGAGGTCCTCTGCCACTGTCGAGGGAATGTATCAGAGGACGTGCAACTACTGCAGTTCCCGCGTACAACAGAAACGATCGAGGCGTACACATGTGGAAGCTTGAATGGTAGCTGGAACGGCGAGCGGGCGTTTCACACGCAAGATCCGGTCGATTGGGAAGTCTGGTGCGAGTTCGGGGTTTCAGGTGTGCTATGGGTCGTTAGATCTCTAGGACCAGATCAAACGGTTGAAAATCGGTTGCGCGAGGTGCCTTGGGACTCTTACAAAACCCTAACTTTTGAGCAGATCTGGGCCATTGGTTTGGCAACAGATCTGATGGCTCAGATCCTTTGGCGGCTGGACAAAAGAGGAGGGCTAGGGTTTTCCCCAATGCCTTTTCTAATGCGCTCATTTCGATTAGGCCTCCACCTTTGGGTCATTCGTTTAATTTTGTAACCTTAGGCCTGCAAACAAAGTTAATAAACAATTACTATTCATCATTTTTAATTAATTAATTAAATTTTTAGCTTACATGTATATATATATTAGACTATATTCATATATATATATATATATATATATATTACATGTATAATAATATAACTACCGAGATATATATTTATAATAACAATATATGATATATATATATATTTAATCAATTTAATTATTTATATATTTAATATATAATAATAATTATATACACCCATAATAATATCTATAACCACACGCATAACTAATAATTAATCCTAATATAACAAGTGATAATATAATATATAAACCTATAATATACACACTACTTGCATATGTATATAATCAAGCACCCTAGACATAATTAAATAGCCCAAATCAACTATTCGAACTAATTAATTAGTTCATAGACACAAATGAAAATTCAAAGTCGAAAGTCTCGGACAAAATGAGCATCTACGATGAAAAAATAAGTCGCCACCAATCATTTTTAAGATGAGATTGAAACACCTACAATCAGGTAAATTTAATAAAACATTTCATTTTACTAAAAATACTAAGTTTTGGTATACGAAATCAGAAATCAGGTTCGAAAGTCAGTTACGCGTGAGGAAGGATTAGCACCCCTACAGCGCCCGCAATTCCATCTTTTGACACCATTTCCCCTTCTTCGATCTTTCATTTGTTCCTCCATTTTCAATCGAATAATCTATCCCAATCTTATAAATGACGAACCTACAAAAGACACAATTGCTATTGATTAGTTCATGTGAGGATTTATTTCCATTTATTTATTTTTCTTTTTTCATCACTTTCAGGTTTTTTTTAATTTTCTATTTTTTTCCTTTTTTACTTTATTTTTCTTCTGTTTTTTCAATTTTCTCTTTCTCCCATTTTCTTTTCCTTTTTCTCTTTCTATTTTTTCAATTTTCAATTTTTCTTTTTTTTTCAACTAAATGTTAATCCTTGAGAATTGACTCATCTATAAGGGGAAATCAAAAGTTCTCACACTTTTTTTGAAAGATTGTGCGAGTTCTCCTATATGAACTACGTATTCTTTCGTAAGGGTCATGTTGAGATCGAACAAGCTCTCATATATAAACTTCTTATTCCTTTGATCGTACTGATCTATCTCCTTATGAGATGAGATCTAGCAAAAATGGCAATGTTAATCCACCTCCTTCTGTGATGGAATCAAACATAATGTTAATGATGATCTACCTCCTTCTGTGATAGAATCAAGCAAAAAGGTGATGTTGATCCAACTCCTTATGCGATGGATTTGAGAGAAATTATAATGTCGATCCACCTCCTTCTGTGATGGAATCGAACAAAATGTCGATGCTGATCTACCTCCTTCTATGATAGAATAGAGCAAAAAGGTGATGTTGATCCAACTCTTTATGTGATATAAAAAGGGAATATTGATCCACCTCCTTATGTGATGGGATCCAATCTATAAAAATTGTCATATGTTAGTGTCAATTGTGTTTGAAGTAACTGAAGGTATTGACGCGAAGGTTCTCGAATCTTTGTTGGATCTACTTCTTTAACATGGAATTGTGAACTGAAATTTCTGCTAACTTCTTGAATTCTTTTTAAACATTTCATTTTTGGAAAGATTAAATGAGAAACTTTAAAAATCACTTTCTCATTTTGTACAAACATCATATGAAAACATTCTGCCCAAAGGTCTTATAAATGGCACAAAAGACTTATCATCCTGCTTGAAAGGCTGACAGATAACCTGAAGGACTTAATTATCATGCTCAAAAGATTTACTGATGGCTCGAAGGACTTACCAATTTTGAAAATAGTTTATTGGGTAAGAAACTTTGGAAGTTGCTTTGTTACTTTTCATTCATTTTCTGAAAATCTTAAATAATAAACTTTGAAAATCATTTTCTTATTTTTTATGAAAATTATGTAAAAACTACTTAGTGGTAGTGTAACATGACCCACTTCAAAGCGATATTCTTCTGTGGATTGGGCTCATTTGTTCTTCAGGTTCTGCCACTCTGAACATGATTTCATGCATTTTTGGTTTTAATTATAAAGAATTAAGTATTTATTTATGAAGATATGCATGCAATCAAATATCTATTTATGAAGATATGCATGCAATCAAATGTATCTAAATGTAATGCATTTCCTAATACAAATGATGTTCTCATGGGTACAAAAACATTGATTCAATTTTCTTTTGACTTCAAAGTGAAGAATTCGGTCTTCCTTTGATCGATCAATCTTGTCTAGAGTTTACTCTGATATCAACGTGGCAACTTGCCATCTCAAGCTAGCATTTTCCGAAGAATAATCTGATCAGCTTGGTCGTCATGTCTTCTTTCTCTTTTATTTTTGTTTCTTTATGAAAATATTCATAAGAAACGTTCTCTCTCTTGAATTCTTTTTGCGGCTAGTTATATGATCTCAATTCCTTTTTTATCCTCAAACTCATCTACTCTATCAGAGTTGTTTCTTCAAGACCCTTCTACCAACTGAAGAACGAATGATTTCTTTTTCACAGTAAGCTATTCTTGTCTCTATCTTCTGTCCCTATCAATTCAAGAAAAAAAGCTCATTCTTGATGTCTTTTTTATCAGAATCTTATTATCTCAACACGATCTGAGTTTTTTTATCATTGCCTTTTTATTTTCAAACTTCCTCAAACGAGTGATCAACTTGTCTGATATAGGAATGCCCTGAATATTTGTTATGACTTGAGATATCATAAAATCTCAAAGCAATACATACCCCTTCTTATTAAGGCAGTTGTCTGCTTCTTGGTCGGTTATTAATGATGTCACAGAGTGAAAAGTTTTATTCTTGAGTATTCTGATCTATCAAACTTCATTGTTATAAGAATTAGAGAATGTCTCCTTTTCCCTTGTATCACTTTCAATTGAGGCAGAATAAGTTTTATCAGCTTCTAGGACCTCATTCATTCTTCATAGGTCATCTTGTTTCTCCCCATATCATAACACCTTGGGAAAATTTCATTGATGGGGATTGAATAACTACCCCCACGTAGCTTCTTGAATGAATTCAGTTTGTATATCTTTTCTTGACATACACTCTTTAACAAATGACTTTCAAGGTTTTGGGCTACTTTGGACTCCATACATTTAAAAGATTATTTCAAAGTAATACCAAGAAATCTTTTGTTTTCTTTTAAACTATGCTAATCTATTTATAAGATGCATGTAAATGAACAAATTTCGGTATGAAATGAAAAAATTAGAATTTTTACAAAGTCATGGCAGTCATAGAAAGGATAAAAAAAATAAAGTCATATGCCTCGATGTTGAGTTAATCGATCGATGGAATAGGCCAAGAGGGGGGTGAATTGGCAATAAAAATTTTGGTGGAAGCTTTTACAGAAAATTAAAAATATTTGCACGACGATTTAGAGTGGTTCGACTTTCTCAACCAAAGTCTACGTCCATTACCTTAGCTATCCACACTAAGGATTTTCCACAAATTCACTAATTTGTCTTTCTTTTTGAGGACAAAGAGTAACCTTACAACTCCCTCAAGAATTATACCCCGAATTCTTGAGAACACTCTCTCTCAAAGAGAAAAATACAAAATTTGCAAACTTACAAAAATCCTCACAAGGAAAGATGTTTGCACAATTCTAGAACAAGAAAATAACACTCAAGAATGAATACAATTGAGTACAAATGGTGTTCTTGAAAGAAAAATGAATATTGAAGGAAAATTGGCTTGAATTGCAAAAACTTGGTGTTTGATGCTTTCTCTCTTGTTTCTCAATTATTTCTTCTTTCTTGTAGTTGATTAATGGCTTCTAAGCTTGTTTAAATATTCCTTCAACTGATGTTGAACATTGGGGATTATTAGTGGAGTCAATAGAGCAGCTATTATGTGAAAATAATAAATAAAACAACTTGGAGCGTGGGCGGAATCAATGCCCCTTCATAGGGAATCGATTCTTGCAGTGTAAAATTCAAATATTTTGACCGTTATGAGTTGGGGGGAATTGGTACCCTCCGAGTAATCTGTTATTTCCCGGAGCCAAAACCATTCAGGGGGAATCGGTTCCCCCCTTGGGGGGAGTTGATACCCTCTGAGTAGCTGTAAATTTTTGGCTTGAATAGTGCTCGAAATACTTTAAAATTGTTTCAAAATTATTTTAAGATTGAAACTTAATTTTTACACTTTAGTAAAGATTGAAATTGAACTTTGAAAGATTTGGAGTAATATTTTGATATTCAAATAGTTGTATCGAATATACTTAGAAAATCATTTGTAAAATCTTAAAATTCTTTTAACTTAATTTGTTATATATAAACATCAAAATGTTTTCAACAATCTCTCCCTTTTTGATATAACAAAACATTTTAGTAATTTTAAGATTTTCTTAACTGAAAAATCATTTTTGAAATCAAGAATTAAGTTTGAAAAATTACTCCCCCTTACTATAACACTTCTCCCCCTTTTTGTTAAATCAAGAAGACTCTAAGACGTTTTTAAACAAGGGTTTTGAAAATTAAACCAATTGATTCTTAAATTTAAGCTGCTAATATCAAAATCAAGAGAAAGATTAGCCATTAGTTCCGTAAGCAATATTCACAAATAAATGTGTAATGGAAATTGGTCATATATTCTAAATGAATCAAAATTAATGAGACCTTAATAAAACCAAATTCAAACAATCAAACCCAATATATATAAATAAACATTCAAGTTCAAACATCCATATCATCCAAAACAATCACAAGCAAAATGTTTTAACAATTATAAGTTCGAAATCATCCTAAGAGAAAACTAATCAAGAAACAAGGCCTAATCGTCCATCGGTGGATCAGGAGGTGATAAATGTGCCCATATGTTGGTCACATCATGTGTAAGCGCAATGACCCTCTCGTCCATAGCGTCGAAACGATGATTCAATGCTTTGTTGTTAGTAGTTAGATGCGACTCGATGGATACAAACCTCATGTTAAGAGTCTCATAGGCGATCGGAAGTATGGAGGCACTTGACTTTCTTACGGTGCCGGCTCGTCAT